TTTTTTTGGGGAGGAGAATGGGGGGGTGGGGCGGGCAGCGTTTAAAGATTTTTTTCTCTGCATGGCATGCATCCTTGGCGGGACACCGCGCATTTACAGTTTTGGTTGGGATCTGCAATTCATGGCTGGTGTTCACCAAGCATCTTCCTAACAACTGCAATTTTTCTTTCACATCATGTGTTTGTAAGTCGTGCCGGCTTTGTTGCCTGCAGAACATGTATTTGAAAACCTGCCGTTGGCTTCCATGCAGTTGCGCAGGTTAATGATTATTGTTACTGATGCGCAAAAATTGATGTCATGTTCACTCTTTGCCACAATTTGAGGCAATTCATATTTTGGATTTAGTGCTGTGTTTGGTTTGCTGAAAATTATCATTGCTTTTACAAGGCTCGGAGCAGAGTAGAGAAATCAATTCGGAAGGGACTGCCTCTGGTGTGTGTCCGGATACGCGGCTACATGGTGCAGCAAGCTGATTCGGCATCCAAATCCGAAGATGACCTGTACATGCGGCTGAAAGAACTGAAGCGCCAGATGGAGTTCCTCGACATCCAGGAAGAGTATATCAAAGATGAGATGAAAAATCTCAAGCGTGAGATGATCCGTGCCCAGGTCGAGATCAAGCGTGTGCAGTCCGTTCCACTGGTCATTGGCCAGTTCTCTGAAATGATTGATCAGAGTCATGGGATAGTATCTTCAACAGCAGGCTCCAACTATTACGTGCGCATTCTCAGCACGCTCAATCGCGAACTCTTGAAGCCAAGCAGTTCAGTTGCCTTGCACCGTCATTCCCATGCTGTGGTGGACATCTTGCCGCCTGAGGCAGACAGTACGGTCCAGAGCATGGCCATGTCCGAGAAGCCGGATGTCACCTATGCTGACATCGGTGGCATGGACATCCAAAAACAAGAGATCAAAGAGGCTGTGGAGTTACCATTGACACACAAAGAGCTGTATGCTCAGATTGGGATTGACCCTCCCAGTGGTGTGCTCCTCTATGGCCCTCCCGGTACAGGAAAGACAATGCTCGCAAAAGCTGTCGCAAACCAAACTACGGCCACGTTCATTCGGATGGTAGGCTCAGAGTTCGTTCAAAAGTACTTGGGTGAAGGGCCTCGCATGGTACGAGATGTATTTCGCTTGGCTCGCGAAAATGCCCCATCCATTGTCTTCATTGATGAGATCGACGCTATTGGCACGAAGCGATTTGATTCCCAAACAGGTGCAGACCGTGAAGTCCAGCGAATTCTGCTAGAGCTCCTCAACCAGATGGATGGTTTCGACCAGGACACGACAGTAAAGGTCATTATGGCTACCAATCGTGCAGATACGCTGGACCCAGCACTCTTGCGACCAGGCCGGCTAGACAGGAAGATCGAGTTCCCACTCCCTGATAGGCGCCAGAAGCGCTTGATCTTCCAGACAATCACTGCGAAGATGAACTTGAGTGAAGAAGTCGACTTGGAAGACTATGTCTCGCGGCCTGAAAAAATCAGTTGTGCTGATATTGCTGCCATTTGCCAGGAAGCAGGCATGCAGGCTGTGCGGCACAATCGATACGTCATTTTACCGAAAGACTTTGAAGCCGGATGGAAGGACCACGCCAAGAAGAAGGATCGCGACTTTGACTTCTATGGCTTCTAAAAGGAGGCTGCCACTGGAAGAAGGCATCATTCCGGTGTTTCCCGCAGACAGGCTACCTGCTACACAGGGATGAATCGGATACGGAAAGCCATGCAGCTGACGGACTGAAAAACAATGTGCTGGTGGCGTGAAAGCTTGAAGTGACAGCATTGGGTAAAGCATGTTTCCTACATTGCAGCAGCCTTCCAAAGATTCATTAAACCAAGCCAAGAGGGCTCAAACCTGCAGCGAGGAGTAGATGCTGCACTAGGCAGTACTAGCATGACTGTGAGATGCTGGCTTTGAAGCTGATCCTGCTGGTATTTGCAGCTGACCCTGGAATTGTGAATGGTGCTGTTCCGACCTAAGCTGCCGTGCGTTGCCAGAACCACGCTGTGTGATAACCTAGCTGTCGATGCAATGCAGACCTGAGGCACCCATCCGACAACTTGCACATCATTCTTGCCAAGGCTATGATGAAGAGGTGGGTGTTGGAACTCCTTGCAGTCACGGCGATGCATCTTTCTCGTGCATCTTGTCAGCCACAGCTCTCGGCAGGTGGGTGGGTGCGAGCCGCTGCCAGCCTGCTGCCTCAGTCTGATCAAGTACCCGTGGTTTAAGTTTCTGTCGCTCCAACTGTCCGGAGGCTTGCTCTGTTTGTGAGCCACAAGATTGTGCGTTCTCCCCATGGAACTCATGGTATGATGCTGGCGGATGCTCTCGACTTATCGTCAGAGCTTTGAGTATGGCCATGTCTTGTGCGCTGGTGTTTGAGGCATTGGCCTCAAGTTCCGGGAGAGATCGAAATCTATGTCCAACAACGAGCTCTCCTGGCATTTTTAATGTATTCGATAGCGCGAGTTCCGCCTGGTGGCGGGGCACGGCCCAAGGTTCCCGTCCACTCCAAGGGGGAACATGTCTACGCGGAATCAGCATTCGATCCTGAAACAACACTCAGTACTCACTGCTTCCGTCCATTTGCAGTATAGGTTTAAGATGTTTTTGAAATGTGTTGTGTATCTATATTTGTACTGCATGAAGCCCTATCTGCTACCTGTGGCCTATAATCTGCAGTCAATGTCTAGGGATTGTTGGTGAGTCTAGGGGACTCTCTGCGACTGGACACTTTGGGTCGATATGGGGGCCGGGGGATCGCCCAAGATGGAGCATGCTGGAGAACTTGGGTGAGGTGGAGGCAAACCCTCCAAAAGCTTAGCCATGAAACTTCTGAGATGCTGGGAAGCTTGGCCAGGTGCGGCAAGCCGTGCAGCGGAGCCCTCTTAGAGTCTGAGCCCTTTGTCCAAGACAAGTGCGTCAAGAAGGCAGCACCGTCTGTTTCTTGTATGTTTTGGTCCATGACTTTGCGAAAACTTGCTAGTTGCCAAAAGCGAGCATAAAACTTTGGTGCTTCAAGTTTCAAGAAGGGCGATCAGGTGGAGCATGCTTTGACGGGTAAGCCTGGCATGGCCTGGACAGGTGGTGGACTGCATTTTTGGCGAATGGACCGGGACTTGTTCAAGCATATGAAAGTCAGGTCATTGAGTTTCACAAGTAGCTGCGAGGTCTGAATGGACCATATGCCACAGCTCGGCAGATCAGTCCATGAGATCAAGATCAGTCGTCCAGCCACAAAGTGATACAGGCTCGAGCCTGACAAGCTTTCTTTGTCCGTTCCCGATGTCCTCAGATGCATGCTTTGGAATGGCCTGCAAGCAGGAAAACCTTGTGATGGTCCGACGAAGCTGACAAGGACAGCAACCTTGTTTGGGCAGTCGTGCTGGTGCTAGCAGCGCCGAAGTGCCAGTCTCACGTGAAGCCAGCACTGCAGGCCATGTGGGAGCAGCAAGCAGCCACAGGCATGCATATTCAGCCCTTGGCGAGTGGCCGCCTCAGTTTCTCTTCTTTGTTGCGTTGGAACTCTTCAACTCGCAGCGTTCACTTGTTTTGCTCAAGGAGTGGACCAGTTGCAGCGCTTCTTGTGGGGAGGGACGCCACACGCGGCTGCGAAGAATAGATCAGGACGCATTTGGCCACAGACATGCTGATAGGATTTGATTCTGAACTACTGCACCAGGAGGCGTTACATGGTGGCGAGGTTTGCGCGGGTGTGCTACTGGAGGCCTGCTCTTGCAGAGCGAAAGAGGTGGAAACACGCAAATCTCTCTGCTAGACGGTCTTATGCAACTTGCCCCCGTGCGGCCGAGCTGACTGTCACGTGTCCCCATGGCCGGGAGCCTTGGCCATTCTTTGTCATTTGATGGTCTAGCGGATCAGGATCGTCATGCGAGCAGTCGGCCTTATTCAATCTCAGAAGCTTCATGTGCTGCAGACATAATACTAAGGTCGCAGTGGAGTGACTGTGCCGAGGAAATAAATACTCCACGCACGTGTGATATCTATGCTGTTTTTGTGTGGACTGCAGGAGGGACAGATGCAGCGGCTCCGGAGAAGAACAGTGTGGATCTTATAAATCCAATCATGAGTGTTCAGCCAAGCAGTTTCAGATTCCTGTGCTTTGCTAGTGCCATGGGCTGAAAAGTTTGTCCTTGGGGTATGCGGCTGGGTTGTTTGTAATTTTGGAAGGTGTGTCAAGTGTGTCTTCTGTCTGCTTTTGTTCGGCTCTGCCTGCTTTCCATCTGTGCAATGCCGGCGGTTGCAGAGCTACACAAGCCTTATCCAGGGGCATCAACCTCTGTGCGGTGCACATCAATTCGTCGGACTCCACAGCACAGACGGTACAGCTGCAATGTTGGAATTCTAGCTCCACGTTGTCAAACGAATTCGGTCCTGTTTTTGTTCGCTTCTGTTTGTTGCTCGTGGTTCTGCTGAGCCCTCCTTTCGATGGGCTCTTCGGCGCCTATGGCTGCTTTGCAACTTGGCTGCTCGACTTGCTCCAATTCCAACTTTCCCCAAACCCCCCTCACAGTAGACCAGATTCAGAGAAAAGGCTTGGTGAGAGACAGGGAATGAGCCAACTTAGTCATACTACTTGTAGACGGCCTTCAAGGTTACTGCTACCTCAAATTATTTGGCAAGGCCACAGTTTTCTGCTGCTGCGCTGCAGATCTGGAGCTGGCATGTTCACATGTTGAGAAGGGTAGTGAGAACCGGGTCCCGGTTGCTGGCGAGATCACCAGAATCTTCCGGTGCCCCTGCTGGCTGGCTATCGTCCATGCCATTGGTTACACGCGGGCGCAGGCCTTTTCGCCACGTCACGGGCATCTCGCAGGACGCTGACAGGTTGGCACATGTTTGCTCTCCAGTGAGCGATTACTCGTAGCGTCTGGTACGAAAGCAAGTTTGAGCCAACATTCGGCAATGCGAAACTGATTTCTTGATTCCCCGGCTTTTGCCGTTTTGCCGTTCCTCTCTCAGTGGCGGCATGATGCATGGTTCAGGGGCCAATCCTGGTTCCCGATGTTCTCTGCAACATGGGCATCTTCTTTTCCTACACTACGAGGTGGACAGTGTGGCGGTGGGTCGACCACAACCTGCTTCAGCAGGGGTTTGGGAGCTTGTGCGTGGAACGGCTTACAATGCTGACATGAGCTGCCGCCCAAATGTACCGCTCGCGGATGTGGTTGGGGTTGACCACTGTTGTTATGGACCTGGCCGTAGTTTGGACATGCCCACGCTGCCAGCCAGCTGCATGCTGGTAGGAGTGCTTGCGAGATTGACTTTGATGAATCTTTCACTGCTGCACAAGCTGCCGACACATCCCCAGCAAACCTCATGCTGAGCAGCGGCTGTGCGCCTCGTTGATGGCATCACCTTGCAGTCAGATTTTGCATGCGGCCTCCAGCGCGCAGCGCAAAATAGCCTAGAAGTTTCATGGCCATCGGCTTTTCAGATTGCTTTCGTGGTGACTCATTGAACAGTTTTGCATGTTGATCTCACAGGATGTTGAGACGGCTTTTCCAAAAAGTCACTGCTAAATCTCAGCATCTCAAAGCTTCGTTGGACCCTAAACGCATACTGGTCAGATTTGCGAGTCATGTGCCTTCATGTAGATGTCCAGGGGGTTCCTTTTAAGTGGGTACAGGGTGCTGTGTCGCTGCCCGTCTTCACGACAGGAACAGGGATGGCAAGAATGAACCGGGCAGCAAGCATTGGTTTACATTTCAACTGGTCAAATTCCAAGGCACTCTATGTCCCCTCAGGATTCCAGGGCTTCATTTCAAAAAGTCGACAGCGATTGTTGCTTGGCAAAATTTCACGGTTTTGGGCCCCATTTTCATCAAAGTGTAGCTTCTTGGGTTTGCTATTGCTAGTGCTAGTGCCAGCAGCACCAGCAGCAGCACCACCAGTAGTAACTAGCAGCAGCAGCAGTAGCCGTAGTAGTCGTCGTATTGGTACGTGGTGGTTGCTCAACTGGGCTGTGCGTTTTTTAAAGCATTTTTCGGGGCATGATAACGTGCTTTTGAAGTTTCGGCCCTGAAATTCTTGGACTTCTTGTGGTTTAGGAGTCATGACAATAACGTTCTGTTGAAGCTTTGGTTTGGTCATCTTGGATGCTTGGGGTTTCGCGGGGGGGCATAATAACGCCCTGTTGGAGCTTCAGTTAGGCCATCGCCGTTTGTCTTACATTTCCCAACAGGGCCAAGTTCATAGCTATTTATGGTACAGTGCTTTGTGGATTTGTATAAGGTTGATGGGATGCAATGGTGTCTCAGGCTAATAGCACAACCGCCAAAACCCTGACCTCCAAATGTCTCAACCTAATCGCAGAGCTTGCTTTCGCAACCAAGCCCAGACATAATCACGTTCTGTTTGCAATTAGGTCATTTTTGGCCTATCGGCAGGGGTGGCCCTGCGGCCTTCGTAGCCAACAGCAAGAGACAACAACGGCAACAGTAACAGGCACAGCAACTTACAGGAGTGACAGGCGCGGCAACTAACAGGACAAGAAGTACATGGTAGTAGAAGCTAGTATATGCTAGTAGAAGCAGGAATTATCGGAATAGTAGTGGTGAATGACAGCAGCATAGTAAGGCCCTGAAAGGCAAACCGGATCCTGGGCAATGCTGATGATGCCGATGATGCCGCATCATCAGCAGAATTGGGGTCCTGTTCTCCATTTGTTGGTTGGCCTGTCCTTCAGTCCAAACTTTGCTTGGCCCAGGCCTGTTGGGATGCGTGCTCATGATGTTTT